ACCCCAAAACCCCAAAACCCCAAAACCCCAAAACCCCTCATATATGCATTTAGTAATTTGTTGAAATATTAAGACTATTAAATGGTCAGAGAATAATATGTTTGTTGAAAAATATTTATGATTTAGATATTTATTTCAAAATTATAGAAAGAATATATGAGAAGTCATTTAAGCCATCAATTTTCCTGCATCGAGTTTTTTATGGGTTTGAATATATTGGTCAGGAGGGCCTCGATATTCCCTCCCTAGCCCGTTTTTTTGGATTAGGTCTCGAATGCGTTGCATATCCTATTATTTAGAGGGCTTATACTATAGTTGGATCTAGTTCTATTACTAGTGATATGAACGGTTGTCCAATTGGAAATTACTACTGCTTAAGAGACTAGGATTTTATTATTGTACAGATTAGTTAAAAGTAGGGATATGGTTATTTCTATAACTTGGGAAGTTTAGGTTAAGATACTGATTGTTGTAATTATTAGTCTCTAAGTAATTTTAATAAGGTGGCTAGTCTTGCTGTTGCTAATATTAATCAGAGTTTTGTCTCGAATTTACTGTCACTAGATTAAGGTTAAATGGCAGGCCTCCATCATTCTATTTGGCTTGCCTTGAAGAGACATTTTTTTGATCTGATAACGTTAACTCTGGATTCTTTTTCAGTGATCCATAGTAATCGTTCTGAATATTACTTAGCATATTAGTACTAAGCCTGTTATTAGTCTATTGATTTTAAACAAGTGGGTTTTAGGACGGGCTATTTGGACTGGGAGATTTAAAAGTTTTCAAATTGTTTTAAATGAGTATGGAGTTCTGTGGGGAATTTTGATATGAACTGATATCTTATTTTAGTGCGATCATCTCATTATAGTCATTTATTCTGTATGATGTCTCCAAATCAATCATATTCATCTTCTAAGAAGATTTCTTACGGGAGTATGAATGTTTTTTCTCCTTGGTGGCTTAGATATATGCTGGAGATATTATCTATTATTGTTAAAGCTAAAACTCTGTATGTTGAATCTGAGATGTAAGATTCTATGAGACTTATCTATTTTTACGCTATTAGTTATAGTAAAGTTTATCCAAAGTGGACCTAAGTTTTTGCTGAAATTCAAGTTATGGCTATAAAATATTTTCAAGCTGATCTATGTAGTCTAAGATCATCTTTGGCTATTCAAGTTTTGACTCAAGACAGGAAATTATTTGAATGTACTTCTTGATACCCATTATAGCATTTTTAGTTGGCAAAATAATGTGTTCACTGACTGTATTCTTGGAATTATTCCTTAGCTTCTCAAGATACTCTGCGAAGAGGATGCCATATTCATTTAATATTAACTTTGATTTCTTTATGATCATTATTATTTTCTCTATCCTCCTCTCAGGATTTTCAAATGATTGCAATGAGTTGAAAATTTTAGACTTAAGCATCTGGTTTTTCATTGCTGGATTGCTATATAAAAAAGCATCTTAAGACTGCAAGAAATTCTTTTCTTTGCCCTAAGATTAGTAAAACATATCTGCATCATTAAACTTTCCAGTGATATTCAAGCTGCTAGATCTCTTCCTCTCTAATTTCTTGGGGTTTTCAGGAGGTTTCAGTGTGTCCTGCTAAGGAATATTCGGCTTTTCTATGTCTGTAGTCATCTTGCTTATTCCTTGTGTCATTACACTCAAAGGCTTAACATTAGGAATAACTCTCTGATAGACCTCAGGAGAGAAATTATGGCTTGCCTTGTCATCGGTTATATCGCTTTTAAATACATTACTTTATCTTGCTGTTTCAACATCGGCTAACTTTCTTCTTCTAGCGGTTGAAGATCCTGCATTGGAAGATTAATTAACCACATCTATTTATTCCTCTGACTAAGAGTTAATGAACATATTGGTTTGATATTTTTTCTTCTGTCCTGAGGGCTGATTGGTTATCTTTTTAGAACTCAACTTTCTCATTCGCTCCTTAATCTATTCAATTTTAAATGTGTTTCGATTTCTCGGAGAAGCTTGATAGTTTTCTTGCTGCTTGAATATATTATCATTTGAAAAATTTGATTTAGTCTTTCTCATTGACATATCTTCATCTATTTCCGATTTATTTTCTTCTATTTTCTCTAGGGAAGATTTTCTGTTTTTATCATGCTTAATCCCTTTTGTGATGTTTTCTAGGCTAGAATCTCTTTTATTTTAAAGTAGATTGTCTGTGGAGGAAGACCTTTCATTCATCTATTGCAGTTTAATATTCAAAAGTGCATCATTAGACACTATTATCCCAGAATTGTCCAATTTCCTGGCCAGCGCATTACCCAAATATTACTGCTAAACTAACTCTTTCTGCTCTTTCTTTAAAATCTTCTGCAGCACACTCATAATTTCTAGCTTGTGCTACTCCTAATCCTCTAATAATTAATCTTTTTAATGAATCATTAGTCGCAGTTTTTCTCTTTTTTTGGCAATGCTCTCGATTTCAGATTTTATATCTGGAAACTAGTCCAATATTATCTTGAACACCTCCAATTCAAACTTTAATATGTAAACATCTGTCCCAGCTATGAAACTATCCACTCGCTCTCTTTTATAGATATAGTCAGTTTCACCTATCATACTTCCAGCAGACATTGTTCTTTATGAGCCTGGATTTATAACAACTCCTTTGAGGATAAAAAACACTTCTTCCGGTCTTGTTCCTTATTTTAAAATAACTGTGTTTCTTTGAAACTTCATAGGTATTAGCTCACTTAAGAAGTTTAAGTAAAAGATCTGAGATCTGTTTTATAAAAATGGGATAGCTGCAATTGCATCGTGATAAAGAAACAAAGCTAGACGTGTTTTCAAACTGGGAGGCAAGAATTTTAAAATAGTATTAATCTCATAGTCTTTTGAAATACTAATAATAGTCTCACTCTGAGCGAAAAAGAATGTTATCTTTTCAGCTAAATGCCGAGGAAGTTTGTAGTTTTATTCTAGCTATGCAATTTAAGAATCTCTATTTTGACGCTTAGAATTCCCCTTACTAAGTTCTGAGAACTAATTCGCAAGGGCAGATAAAGTGTACGAAAACATTGCGACGCCAATAATAAAGATTATACATACTAGGGTTTTTTCCCAAAAATTCTGAGGCAAGATATCTCCATATCCTACTGTAATAATTGTAACTGATGCCCAGTACAAAGATGTTATGTACTTGTAAATGACATCCTCGTCTTGCATAGCTAGTTTATATATCCAGTTTTAATTAGTTGCCAGGTTGAAGGAGCCAGCTACTCCCCAAAAGCAAGCTATCATGTGCAGTATCAGAATAAGTGTCCACACAGTAATAATAAGATTAATGGCTTCTACACCAACGCTTCTTCTCTTCAGAAAGTTTACCAGATACTTTTAAGTAGTCCTAATTCTGAAAAGCTTGAGAGCAAGACACACAATGTAGAATCTAGGGATATAAGCGAAATTAAATTTAACAAAGTTGCTCATATCATCTAAACTGGGCTCTCCTGGAAAGGCTTTGAACATACCGTAAGGTATGTTGCCTAAACAGTCTAAGATAAACCAAGATTTTAGATATTATTTAGCAACCTTTTTCCTTTTGAATACATACTCCCCATCTTTATTGGTACCAGGGATAAAAAAGTTTGAAATAGATTCAAGTGTGAATAATACATCAATGGCTAGATCAGTTACTGCAATAGTAAGCATAATCTTTCTTTGGTTCTCGAAAGACATGCGCACTGGCAAAAAAGCTTGGACCCAGATGAAATTTAGCAACAGAATAAAAACTGTCCAATACTAATACCACTCGTTATTTGTATCAATCCACTTTAGTATAATTAAATATTATTGGTATTACTTACATATTTCTCAAAAGGAGCATTCATTTCTTTGATAAGTTCTGCTTCAGTAATATCGTCAACACCTTACTTTTCTTTGTTGACTTCAGAATGGATAAAGTCATTTTTTGTTTGTGTATTGAGTGAAGTGTTATACTTTCTATTACCTTTATCATTTATTTTATCGTAGAGTTTGGTATGATCAAACTCTTCATCATTTAAGGGTCGATTAGAATTAGCATTAGCCACACTATTCAATTAATAATAACCTTAATTTCCTTGGATTTGCTATGAATCATCTAACAAATTATTTGTACTGTGTAATCCCTTTTTAGATTTCTTTGATTTTTTACCTTTTTTTGACTTGTAAACTCTTTTCTTTTTCTTCTTTTTGCTTACATTTTTGGTCTACTCTTCCAATTACAAAAGCTATTTTTGTAGTATTATCTGCTACTATTATTATAGCTCAATCAACTTCTAGTCAACAGTAGAGGCCTGTCTAAAAAACTCGACTGTTTCGGTGACTCAACTCTTGTTCTTTGAACTTGCTCTAAGCTTTCGATTGCGACTCTTTTTAACTTAGGGTTTCGCCTCGATATTTTTATCCATTTAAATATTCAATCCTTAATATAATTGTAAAATAGAATTAATACTTAGAGTCTAAAATTAAGTAGGACAACTTTATGCTTATTTTTCTTTAATTTAAGTATATTACCAATAGGACTATATTTTAGAGCCTTGGGGTTTTGGGGTTTTGGGGTTTTGGGGTTTTGGGG